TTAGTAGATCTGAGATATCCAAGTTGATGTAAAGAATCAGAAAAATCGTATAAAATTGAAATGTAGATTGTGCCATTTTTATTTTTGGGAAAGTACAGTCCCACCTTTTAGTTAAAAGTGGTCATCTTGGCTAATATCGATATTAACAAAGGAAAAAATGTTGCTTATAAAAAATCCCATTTTATTAGAATTTGTTACGCTCAGAGTTATAGAACTGCATTAATCATGTTGCCACTGAGGCGAATTCACCATGAAAAGATAACAAAAATGTTTTCAAAATAAGTATTTTCCTTCATTGATTTGCTGTTATTTTCAGGTTTGTGTATGAGACTGAACACTTCAATGGTGTGGGTGAACTTCTGGAAATTCTGGGTTCTATAATAAATGGGTTTGCACTACCTTTGAAGGCGGAACATAAACAGTTCCTCGTGAAGGTACTCATTCCCTTGCATAAGGTCAAGTGCCTGTCGCTGTACCATGCACAGCTAGCCTACTGTGTCGTCCAGTTTTTGGAAAAAGATCCCACGTTGACTGAACCGGTAGTCAGAGGGCTGCTCAAGTATTGGCCCAAGACTTGTAGTCAAAAGGAGGTGATGTTCCTCGGCGAAATTGAGGAGGTTCTTGATGTTATAGAACCTTCGCAGTTTACACGTATTCAGGAACCGTTATTTAGGCAGATTTCTAGATGTGTTTCCAGTCCACATTTCCAGGTATGTCACAGTAAATACCATTATTAAATGCTCTCAAATTTAATATCATTGTTCCTTATAATTTATTGTTGAGTCTTCCAAGTTGTAATATTGATAAGCCCTTGATATAGTAGATGCAGTGATGGTCTCAGAATTGATCCCTGTGGAACTCTTAGACCATGATCAAATGCAGATATAAAAGAAAATATGTAGTCTAGAGCCACACTCCTAAGACAGAGATTAAATAATTTTATAAGCGTCGTATGTATCCAAATAATTAAATAGCTTGGGATATATCAAGGCGTCAAAGTATTTATGACATTACAAATTATCATGCATTCTAACATTGAGGTAGTTTCCATGAACATCAAAACAGTCGATGTGCATTTCACCAACCAAATTGGCATGTGGAGTTTAAGCTTTTTTTTTCATTATGGCCATTAAAAAATGTTGTGTCATTCATTTAAGTTCAATAATGAACTTCATTATTTCACTAGTGCGATAATGAGATCCATTACAGCACTAATACGGTAATGAAGTTTCCAATTTTTTTTTTTTTAATGCAAAAAAGCATGAATAGGCTGAATTTGTTAAAGTATCGGTGTAATGAAAAAAACTTAAGGCTTATAAATGTTTATAACTAGAATAAATGGAAATAAATTTTATTAATACTGGTACACTTTATAAAAATATGTACAAAACTCACCTTCTTAGGCAGATTTATGAAGTAGCTTGGTTATCGTTATCACAAACTGGAGCACTTCTGTAATAACTGTGTAGCATCAGATATGTTTCTACAGTTGTCTCTGTAAGCGATGTTCACTGTGGTGAAAAAATACGATTCCACTAACGACAACGAAGTATTTTGCAATATTTCTATGGCGTCGTATAGTCCTCTATAATTGTTATAAATAGTTTTTAAATCTGTTTCAAGGGAAACATCTTGAAAGCTTGTCTGGCTTTCCTTAATAGCTGCAGCCTCGTTAGGGTTGAACTGTAGTATCACAGCTTATATTTGTTGAAAATATTCAGCATAATAAAAAGCTGCCTTCAATCACATTCCCCAACGTGTAAGAATCGGCTCTGGTGGTTCCGGAATATCACGACACAGTGTGTGAAATGCTCGAAGCCGTTTAGGAGATTTGAGAAATACTTTTTTTGTATTTGCTATTAATGCATCTACCTCTGGAAAACATTTTCGAATCGTTTCTGCTACAAGATGGAACGCATGCACTTTACATGTAACACGTAAAAACCTACAATCGTCTCTTTGAAGAAAACGGCCCACCAAACGCATTGTCGCAGCACCGTCGGTCACAAACATCAACACTTGACTTGTTGACAGTTCAAATTTTTCGAAAGTCTCCAACACCACCCGCGTAATTGTTTCGGCAGTACACGCAGTTAGTCTTTTGCTAGCTAATAAAAGTGGAAATGTTGGTTTAACAGGGTTGAGTACACGTACTATAACATTTAAAATAGAATTTTTTTTACAATCTGTCGTCTCTACAACACATAACCACAGCCGTGTATTTTTTAATGCACATTTAATCCTATTTACAATGTCTTCACGAACACTTGGTACATATCTATGTAACGATGAACGACTTGGTAAATTCACCTGGGGATTGTATTTATTCCAGAACTCCCGAAATGCTGGTTTATCCAATATGCGCAGGGAAACATCACGTACAATCAGCATTAATAGTAAATTAAACATAAACTGAGGTTCCAAAGAAGACACGCCATTTTTTATTTTTATGCGGGTTACTATTGACATGAATTTTGCAGCTGTATTTATTCCAGCACATTAAATCTTGATCACAAACTTTACAAATTATTTTACATCCATCATAGAATAATTCCGGAAATTCACCGATAAATTTATTCACTTTATCAGCGTACGGTCGTTTTCTACTCTTTACGCTCAACATTATTTATTATTTATTAGTACTTTATGCATCGACCGACAGATAACAACTGAAGTGTGTCGTGTCATCGTCATCGTAAACAAGCGCGCGATGGCATTGGTATTGCGCCCGACTCTGAATCTACCATCGCTTGGCCAGGCTTAATAATAAGAGAGACTGGTAGACTTTTTAATTTTCTTTTTGTTTAAAAAAATTGGTGATAAAAACATGCACAATGCCAGCTCTGTGAAATGAAATATCAATCTTAGTATTGGAGCATGGAACCCAAATGATGCTTTATAGCATAAAAATAACCCGGTGAGGCACACAATTTTTTCAAGTTTTTCGCAAATTTCATTCAATTTTTTTTTTTATTTAGTTTTAATATTTATGCCTTAAGTATCGCTTGGATCCCATGCTCCAATTCCAAGATATTACATAACCTAAATTTCACTAGCCGCCACTTCATGCTACTTGCCTGATAAAATGTGTTACATTGGATAAATTCGTAACAAAACCAACACGCAATGAGAACATCTGTAATGAAGTATTTAGGTGTGCTCAGATTAGATGATGGATATGAAAAAGTAAAATGCCAGAAAAACCTAATTTGCATAATTTCCCTTAACATAACCTCCATTTATACAAGTATTACACACTATTTTAAATGAGAAAATTATAACACATCCAATGGCACCGATTTAAAAAAAAAACGACCGGTTTCGTTTCCGATCTTGACCGGTCACGATCGGTCAATCATGGAAACATCGTGACCGGTCAACTATCCATCACTAGTCAAATCAGATGTGGGCAATCCCATTTTTTTTTTTTTTTTTTTTTATTTGACCTCAGGTACCTTAAAATATAACATGATGCAGCCTCATTCTTCTTTAGTGGCCTGTTTTTCGAAATAAAATTTCAACGTTTGCAAATAAATTTTTTGAAATGTCGTAAAAATGTCAAAAATTTATGTTTTCAAATAATTTTTTTAACTATTTGAATACGTATAGAAAAATAGTGTGTGCAACATGAGGAAACTGCTAATTATTTCACTCGTGATTATAAAACTCGGCTGTATAATTTTCACATTCGTTAAATAATGATCTTTATTTCCTCACTTGCTGTACAAATAACTATTAATCGTTGGCATCATCATTTTGATGTTTGTGGAAACCACTTAGTGTCGTCACATCAAAGGTTCTTGCTTTAGAATTATTATCTACCCGTCCTAAAAACAACTTAAATATCGCTTATTGGAGAAACACCCTAAATTATTTTGTACTTTTACAGGTTGCAGAGCGGGCTTTGTACTTCTGGAACAACGAGTATATCATGTCATTAATGGAGGAAAACAATCATGTAATCATGCCAATTATGTTCCCTGCACTTTATCGCATTTCCAAAGAACACTGGAACCAAACCATAGTCGCACTCGTATATAATGTGCTCAAGACATTTATGGAAATGAACTCAAAATTATTTGATGAACTTACAGTTAGTTATAAAGCGGAGAGACAAAAGTAAGTAACCAATTTATCTGAACGTCTTCTTTTCGGTTGCATGAAAATTATTTCGGCTGCGTGAAATCTTTCTAGATGTTTAGACATCTCTCTGAAAAAAATGTTTTGCCAATTTGTTTCTGTGTATGTATTTTTGTGGTTTATTACTGATTCAACTGAAGGAGGCTTATATATAAAGAAAATCAAACTCAAAAATAAACAAATCCAAATTGGTGTCTCCCTGGTTTTATTATTTTGTAAACAAAGAATGCTTGAACAGTGTACTTTGTAGATTAAAAATAAATTTGTGACATAACTGCATTCTTTCGTGATTACGATTATATGTATATATATGTATGAGGTTTTCATACTGGTTGACATTTTGAGAGGAAAATGAGACTTGTTAGATTTGGGATGTCAATTATTTTGGGTAGTTTTGAGCAAACTTTTTTTACCCTGTTTAATTTTTTTCCTTTTCCTGCGTCATTAATGTGTAGAAATTATTGAAAGCAGAAATTATTGAAAATTTTGCCTTTTTCCATTTGAAAAGAAAAAAAATTGGAAAAGACATGTCTGTTCGAGGTGAAGATTATTATGGACCTAGCTGGGTACATAGATTATACACATTTGCTACTCTGATACCCAGAAACCTATTATGCTCATTTGTAATTTAACTAACAAATATACAATGAAAACAAAAAGGGTTCTCTTCAAAGAACGGAGCAAACGGAAAAGGAATATTTTCCATAGTCACAAATTTAAAGAACAAAAATCTCTTCTTATTTTTCTTCTTACATGTTCTAATGATGAATGTAGACTTTTTTCCTACCCGGGTATCTAGTAATGCCTGTTTGCAAACCGAGTGTGCAGATAACCAGAAACCCGACAGCGTTATTATATGTGACTTCATTGTCGAGTGGTAAGGACACTTGCCTGTCATCCTGGAGTCCGGTTTCAAACCCCGGCTGAGGATCTAGGAATCTTTTTTATTGTAGTTAGGCCCCTTCGAAAAATAACCAAACTGGAACTTTTAGCTGATGAGTAACAATTTTTTTTTGGCTTAGGGAAAAAAAGAGGGAGAAGGAGAGGGACGAGCTGTGGAAGAAATTAGCAGAGCTTGAAATACACCACAACAAAAATATACCTGCACAACATAATAATAGCCCTCCCAGCAAAAAGTGATACAACAGCCTAATGTTCCCCGCCCACCGCTAGCCGTGTGCCGGTAAGTAAGTCTGCAGTAAGAGACTACGCAGGTGGTCCCCCCCGCCCCCCTGTCAAATTGGAGCATGCTTCACAACACCAAAAATGTACATCCCTAATAACTCCACCATATCAAGTAACTTTCTGCACGAATCTATTTAATTTAAATCTCCTTGTAAAAATAGTTTATAATAACTAAAACTAGTCTACTTTTTTTTTTTGTACACTAAGGTCGTTTTAATGAGTTCTGTAATTATTTGACCATTAAAATAATAGATTTATTTGCATTATTATTTTTAGTTGTATGTTCTTCAATGCTGGTAAGAACTTGTTCGGGAATCGATAGATATCCAGTACGTAAGGTCTCGACGTTTCGGCATGAAAGTATGGAAATGTCGAGAATCATTACTTGCATTGAAAAACATATCGTTTTAAAAAAATATTAGTTGATATTATTTGTGGATTTTGGCAGAAAACCTACTTAAAATTGGTGTAGTGGCATAAAAAGTGCAACGTGTTGAAGAAAATAGGGAGGAGGAGGAGACGAAGAAGGGACGATTGGATTGTACATTTTAAATTATTGTGAATGTACTAAGTCTTTCTACAATGTTTGTAGCTGTGGACAGAGAACTAAGTTAAAAATGTGCTATAGTATAACTAAAAACTGTATATAGATGGAGCTACCGTGGTTATGGTTTGTGTTTGGACTGTGGTTGGTTTAATCAGTGATTTTGTCATGTTATTTCTGGGGTATTTTTTTACCAATAAAGGAAGTTATTATCGTTTTTGTTTAATTTTTGTTTTGTAAAAAAATTTAGTGCCAAAGTTATTTATGTTTCATTTTTTCACGATTACTTGGCATTTTATAGCCAGGAAGTTAAAAGTAATTTTATTGTAGGTCATTTAACGTGAGATTTATAATTCGGTTGATTATCTTGCAAGAAAGTAGACATGTCCATAACAGATTTGATATAATTGACAAGGAAATAAATAATGAAAATGCGAAATGAAACAGTTATAGACATGAAGTTGGAACTGCGTGGCCAGAGCCTGGTGACGATTGATTCATGAAAACGTAGAAGTGCCAATTTTTGTTATCGTATAACAGGTGTCATCAATGCTATACTTCTATTGAATTTACTCTTCTTGACTTTTTAACCTCAAATTAAAGCCAACAAAACGATAAGGGCTGAAATACGGGATTTTCATATTTACACACTATGTAGGGAAGCAGCTTCGTTTAAACTCGTACATTCTTCGGAGTAGAGGGGAAAGCATGGATTGCATCTGTTCCTAATCTCTGTGGACTGCATCGCTGGTCGATGCACGGTACAAATTCATGTTTACATTTTGTATCTAGGGGACTGGACTGCACGAGCTTGACCAAAACGCATCTCTATGTAATATTTTGAAATGAAGGCAGAATGGAAGATAATTTCCATTGAAATAGCTTATAATAATGATCAAATCATTGACAGCTTTGGTGAATTTAGTAGCATACTGTTAAAGTCTCTGCAACACATAAAGTGGAGTGTTCTCGTTTCTTTCTTTCTTCTACCATAATGTTAAACGTTTCATGTATAACCTTCAAATCGGCTTCTATTTGTGATTAAACAGATAATGGCTGGCTTTAATGGCCTAAGAGTTTTGCGGATATAGTTTCATTATATGATGGAATTATTGATGATAATAAACAGCTGCTAGCAACCAGGTTCCCCATTGCATTATCACTGGTTATGACAGATCTGGAATTCCAGGACACTCCATGCGATACAATTGAGTGTGCTTTATAAATTTGAACAGTTTGTTTCCTATTCGCAATTAAAATATCGACGTCTGAGTAGTTGTGCTTAATTGTTTCTGCTACCAGGTGTAAAGCCGTTTACTAACAGATAAAACTCGGAACCCGGAACCTATACTGTCTTTGGTAATTATTTAGTATACGATAAGATGCTTAAATTTTCCTGAAAATTTTTCTACCCCCCAAAATAAGGTACGCTGAACACCAATATGAGACAAGCCATTCATGAGAAAAAAAAATTAAAAAAAATTGCGTTTTCACACATCTGTCACTTTTTATTGTGGTATATTTAACACTTCCTGTTACTAATTTTACTATTTTAATGTTTAGAAGACGATGTTACTTTTATCTTGTACAGAAATATAATGTTTTACACATTAGAAACCATGTTTTGTTTTAAATACGAAAATTCATGGAAAATGCTGTACTGTGACAAATCATTCATAGTCATGGAGAAGTTAGGTGCGATTCTATTCTGTTGTGTCTAAAGATACCACATTGTATAACTAGCATTCAGTTTAAAACCAGATCGGATCATTTTTAGGGTAAGTTGCTCATTTAGTCGATAACGTAATTAAAGAAATGGATTATATCTTTAAATATGTTATTGTTTAGCAAGGACCAACGAGAAGGTATGAGCAATTATCTTTGCCAGGAAAGGAGAGGAACAGGTATTAGGTTAGGTTAGGTTGTATTATTGCACAAATCTACACATCGTCAGATGCTCATTGCACATTGTCATATCTTGTACAAACATCCCTAACTACCCTTAAATAAATTAATAAGATTGCATTCTTCAGTAACATTAAGAATTATTCCTTGCCCTATAAATTTTGGGTGAAAAAGGGTAAGTTTTAAATAGGGTGCCTTTTACATTGGATTATGGTTACAATAACCCCTTATAATGAAACCACCCTTTCGTCATATTAAAATTATTCGCTAAACCAACCCCTTTTATTATAACCATAATCCTATGTAAAAAACACCCTATCTAATACTTACCATTTTCCACCCAAAATTTATAGGGCAAGGAATAATTCTTAATGTTATTGAAGAATGCAATCTTATTAACTTATTTAAGGGTAGTTAGGGATGTTTGCACAGGATATGACAATGTGCAATGAACATTTGATGATGTGTAGAGTGTGTCGGTATAATTGGTTTTGTGGTATCTCACAGGGGCGTGTTCTGAAAATCACCGAAAATAAGAATTCAGGAAATAAATAAAAATTGCAATAAATAAATAAATGAAAGCTAATGAAACAAATTTTACCTTGTCGCCCAATCGCCTGTCATTACGAAACTGTTAAATATAGTGGGAAATTGTTTCATGAGGCACTTTAGACACTATCTGAAACGCGACGCTAAATTCACATACATTTTAGTTGCATTTTTATCATGTAATGGTGTTATCCCAAATACAAAGCTGTTTTTCTAAGGAAAAAAAATTGCTATTATTATAAAAAAATGACATATACTATACTCCAAACCATTCAGAGCGTTATTGGGGTGAGGGAAATAATGCGAATCGTTAAGATATATCCAGTGTAAAAAGTGACAGATGTCTGTGAATAGGCAAAATTTTTTTTATTTTATTTCTCCATAACGGCTTGTCTCCGGCAAAAATAAACCTCATATTCGTTTTCAGCGTACCTTATTTTGGGGGAAATAGAAAAATTTTCAGGAAAATTTAAGCATCTTATCGTATACTAAATAATTACCCTGTTTCTTTCAGGAGGTTGCAAGACTCACATTATAACATTTCACAGGTGATCTGGCAAAATATTCTCTTACAATTTTTTGGATTTCGAGTTAAATACGGTTTTAGATATAATTAGTTACTATGCAGGCATATGTAAAAGAGACAAAAATACAGTAATGGCAAGAGCTCTCTGAGTGGCTCATGAAATAAGACATACATATACAGTTGAGCTTCTTGAACTTGATCTTCCTAAATCCCCTTAAGACTGTTCTAGTTGGAGACAATTTGATTTAAAGAAAATTCTTCTAAAATTAAGTATACATCAAGGGCACAGAAACATATTCCGGTTACAGAGAATTTTGAGTTACAGAAGTTCAACTGTATGTTTTTCCTCTCGGAAAATTATAACCTCTTGAGTTAATTTGCCAGATCGCCGGCGATTAGCAAATTTATTATTAATTACATTGCAGACTGAAATTTGGCATATGACAGCTAGATGGAAAATTAATTCTCTGCTCTGTTAACACTAACGCTGACTGGCAACGACTTGTCTGCATCTGGTTTATATTGTAACATTGCCATTAAAGAAACCCGTGTCCAATAATTCAATACACATACTGTATATCATTGACACTGCCAGAAACTTCACACTAGTAGCGCCGTTTACTTCTAGTACAGTATCGGTACACCCATGTAAGATGGATAATCTGTTATAGGGTTTGGTTTGTACATCATCAGCATACACCAAAAATGTGTCTTGAACATAACTGGCTCGATTGCTATATCAGGCAGCGCCTAAAAGTACACAAAAACTGTTAATGATTGATAATGCTATTAAAGAAAGATGAATCTGGTATTTCCTTCTAAACAGAAATTTTGGGGCAGTAAAATTAGAATATATTCAAGAAGTTTTTAAATTGGGATAGGTTATGAAACATCACAGCAGACATCTTGGTCTCGAGCAGGCCTTTGTACTTGAAAATTTCTCTTTATTTAAAAAAAAAAAAATTACACCCAGCTGCTCTTTGCCGGCTGGTGCAGTACAGGTACAGCTCCAAGGCTCAGAGTATGCATAAAGTGCAGTTCATTTTGCCGAGAGCATTAAACACTGGTGTTACCCAATTCTACTTTTTCTTTCATCTCGAGCACCACCTTTTACTGGATGCATAAAGTTCTTTGAGGTTAGGTTTCTTCTTATTTTAAGGTTTTTTTTTAGAGCAACTCCTGAACATTAAGCTCAGGTACAGTTTAGGTGTTCAAAGACCCAAA